CTTTTAGCTGGAGAATCTGAGATCTAAAATATCCTCATATCCTCAGAAACAGTCTGGACAAAGAAAGATCCAGTTAAGACAAGTGGGGATAGAGAGATGGCTCGGTGGTTAAGAGGGCTTCCTACTGTTCAAGAAGACCTCAGTTCGGTTCCCAGTGCTCACAACAGGCAACCCACAGGGAATCCAATACCCTCTTCTGGCCTTTGTAGACACCTGACACACACACACACCACCACTACCACCACCAATAATATAATAATAATAATAATAATAAATATTTTAAAAGACAAGTTTTGCTAATTAAGAAAAAGCACACAGCCCCCCGATGTCCCCCTAACAACTGTATAGAGCATCCCGTCGGCAGGGCTGTTGGGCATTAGAGCCACCAATTGGCACGGGTGGACAGCCTTTGCCTCTTCCCAGTGCTCATTTGCTTTCCAGACTCAGATGCCTAAAACCTTTCACTGATCACATAAAATAAGCGAATTGCAGTTTATGAGTTTCAGGCCCATTTGGAAGACAGCAGAAGATGCTAACAACTTTCGATATGGCAATCTAATTTTCCTGTGCTGTCCTCCCTACCCCCGCTCTTTCCAGGCTTAGTGGATTTCTTTTTTAGGAAGTTTCAGGAGGGCATAACTCGAATGAGATTTGAGAAATACAATCTTCATTTCTCTCCCATGGCAGGCCTCCGTGAGACCCCTGTAAAGAGTGGGACACAGTGTCTCTCTCTTCATGGAGGGAGCAGGAAGGCTTGACGGCAGGAGAATCCTGCATCCGTGAAGCCTTTGTTTCCAGGTGGCTCCACCTTTTACAGTATGGTATCCACCTGGCCATCTCTGTATCTTTTGGCCCATGGCTTCCTATCCAAAGTGCCTGCTTCAATTGTACCCAAATGCCCACATCCGCGAGGAAGCACTCTGCTGTATCTGTGTGCGCAGAGTAACCTCCTGCATTCAGGCTTATAAACAAAGCGAAGTCAAAACAATAAGCTCTGAGAGTTCGTTTGTGTTTGATGGCCCTGTCTCAAAGCTACAACAACAGCACTGTCAGCTTGTCACCGTTCTGCAGCATTTGCCCCCAAATGCCACGCGGGTCCACACCTGCGCAACCACGATGGGCATTGTGAGCCACTCTGTCTGCCACCACATAAAAAGCTAATTTCACATTCAGAATGTATGTTTTTTTTTTTTCCTTTCAATACCAATAGCAACAAGAGTGTGCCAAAAAAAAAAAAAATTCCCCCTGAAGCTCTATTCTGTTTTTTAAACTGCGGAACATTCTTTCATAGTTTGACAGTTGAAATGCTGCAGTTAATGTAATAAACAGAGAATTTTTCTAAGTAGCCTGTCAAAACAAGTGACACTTTTTTTTTTTAAGCTAGCGAGTCTCAGCCTCAGAACAATGGGAAGTACCTTTCAAAGCAACATCTTCATTATACAATCAAATTCTCAAAGTAATCTTCTCATCAAAGAATATTGTGTTATTTCTTCCCCAGTAATTATCAGAGTTCTGCAACCTCTCTGGCAGTGGCGACTATCACAAGTGCAGCTGTGCTGAGTTCAAAAACTGGGGGTCTTGGCCCCACTGACATACAGCCAACACATGCCGTGGCTCCGCGGTTCTCAGTTACTTGGCGGTGTGCACCATAAGGAGCCAACTGCCCCAGGACCCACAGAGGTGGCCTCAGTCTCCAAGAGCAAAGTGCTTCGTCGGTCCCTTCAAGAACAGACCGGGTGTGGGTGATTTTTGATCAAACTGGCTTCTTTTCTTTCCTCTTATATAGAATCAAGTGAGATTACCAATGATTACTAGAAAATTGAAAAATAACTAACCAACAAACAGAGGGGGGAGTGTGTGTATGTGTGTGGTTAGAACTTGAGTGTCTATCTCTCTCAGAATTAGATTCCTTATTTGTCACTTTCCCATCCTTAAGAGCTGTCATTCAAATAGGAAGAAAGTACATACGCCTAAAGAAGCATCGCCGGTCCAATCCCAATGATTGTCAAATTAAGAAAAAAAAAATGCTGGGAAGATGCGAAGAAAATCCCAAGTCATACGTCTTGGACTATCAGTGATTGCTTTTTTTTTTTTGAGACAGAATCCCCGTATGTAATCCAAACTGGTCTGAAATTTGCTACATTGCCCAAGATAGCCTCCAGCTCCAAATCTTCCTACCTAAGCCTCTCGAGTGCTCAGACCCAAGGCCTGTGCCACAACACCAAGTGCAAACAGTTCAATAGCCAGAGTTTGGGGAATCAATGTTTCTTGAAGACTTGAGTATCTGGGGTTCATGCAATTCACTGGATTGTGGACGAAAATGGGAACAGCACCATCTCTCCTTGGGGGCGCTGGGAAGTGAACTCATAGCTTCACTTACATGTGCTAGACCGGTGGACCCTATTTCTAGGGATGACTCATGAAACCTAGGCCAGAAGTCTCGAGCATACAGCACATACTCAATAAATGTCTGTCCCATTTGACTCTGACTTGGGACTGCTTCTCTCATTGGCTTACAGACTCCTCAAAGGAGCAGTTACTCTTTCTACATTTTAATCCACTTGGTAAGCGCTTGAAGTCTTAGTGAATTCAACGGCAAGAAAGAGCTGAGAGGGAGGCTTGGCAGGGGCTCTGAACTCACTCAGTCATTCAAAAATGTTTATTGATGGCTTCCTTGTTGGGGACTGTGGTGGTTTGAAAGAAAATGGCCCTGACAGGGAGTGGCACCATTAGGAGGTGTGGCTTTGTTGGAGTCAGCATGGCCTTGTTAGAGGGAGTGTCTAATTGTGGGGGCAGGCTTTGAGGTCTCCTATGTTCAAGCTACACCCGGTGACACCATTCGTTTCCTGCTGCCTGTGGATCAAGATGTAGAAGGATCTCAGTTCCCTCTCCAGAACCATATCTACCTGTATGCTGCCACATCCCACCACGATGATAATGGACTAAACCTCTGAACTATAAGACACCCCAATTAAATGTTTTCCTTTATAAGAGTTGTTGTGATCATTGTATCTCTTCACAGCAATAGAAACCTCATCTAAGACAGGTACATAGCCTGACTATTTCACACTAGGGAAACCCTCCCCCACAGTATAGAATGCTAACACACACTCCCTTGTCCATTATAGGATGTCGTACAGCCCTGATTGCATCCCTGCTCATGGGTCTCGAGCTATCTTCTGCTCACACAGAGCTCCAGAAAGAAGGCACACCCTCATGTTCCTGCTTAACTCAACTCCAGAGCATTCAGAACAAGTTAGGTGGTCAAGAAGTGCTGGCGAACAAGGGGTTAATGAAGAAAACTGGCACTGTGTGATTGCCTTTCACAGACTCCCAGTGTCTGGCTGCTTCTCGGCAGCGAGAAAGCAAATGTGCAGGGCAAACGCGGCAGGGATCCTTGACATTGGATGCCTTTAGTATCCCCTAGAGTCTTCACCGCCGTCCAACGGATGCCCACAGCCTGTGTGTCCACTCGTGTTCTGACAACCCAAACATCCCCACGCATTTAGGGGATGCCTCAGCCGGACTCCGAACCTCAGAATGATGGTGGCTTGAATGAACGTGACAGCAAGGAAAACAGAAAAAAAAGAGAGAGATGAAGCCAGGAGAGATGAAGAAGGACAGATGGTGAGTGAACTGGTCAGGAGGAAGGGAAACAGTTTGCCTGGAAAGAAAATGTGGTTTCTGAGGCCATTATTTATTTGATTTCCACAGCCCCGGGGAATTCTTGTGCCCTCAGCCATCCTCCCCATGATCCTGCAGGGCAGACAGAGCACAAATTGGCTGGGCAGCTTCCTTGGACCCCACTCCTGCTTAGGTCGGTGCAGCTTTGGCTTTTCTATTTGATATTTTGGATCCTTCTATTCAATTTCTGTTTGAAAGAAGGGGATTGAGGCTGAAAGAGCTGAAAACCATGGTTCTAGAGTTAAGGATGACAGTACCAGCTGGGATGAGGGGAAAGGCCTTTGAAATGCTCTGTGTAGAAGATTTGGACAAAGGGGACACGGTGTGACAAAAATGACATGTGTTGAAAAGCCCATGCGGCCTGGAGTATGGGCCAGCGAAAGCGAAAGTGTCCTGGGGAAAGGAGATAAAGCTGCCCTCAGAGGCCACTGTGAACTGGTCCAAGGGGCAGTTGCTGGGGAAGTCCGTCTGAGGGGCAGCTCTCACTTGGAAAGTGCCCAGTGGACATAGCAGATGTAAAATCGAATGTTCTTGCAGAGACCCGAGCATAAAGGAAGGTCGGCAGAGCTAGTGGCTCAGGGTTGGCATCCATAACCGCCTGGCACTGGCTGTACGGTGGAGGGGGCTTCGTTTCCAGCATGAAGCAGCAGCCTGTGTGTGGGGTTTCCCAATCTAGTGCCAAGCCACCTTGACTGCAAAGGTTTCCCTGAGAAAGACTGGGAGCGGCCATGTGCTTTGCAGGCCATGGAGCAATAACAGAATGCCTGGGGTCGAACAGGAGCTTCACACTTTTCTTCTTTGACCTAATTAAATACCTCAAGGTTGTCAGCTTGTGGCCAGCTGTGGCCAGCTGTGGCAGACAAGGGGGCTTCCAGCTGCCTCACTGACTGAATGGCGGCCATGAAGGAGTTTTACCAAAAGAAGAAATGAATGATTTAATGAATGAAAGAACGTAACACGGGCTTGGGAGCCTTGCTTCTGGGGTACTTGCCCTCTAGAACTATGAAGAATGGGGCTGCCTCAGTCTGGCATAGAAGCAGAACAGTTTCTGCTTGCCATTGGCAAAGGCCATTAGTATGGGCGCTCTGGTTTGATATCCTGAGTCACCTGCTAAACTCACATGAGTGGACAGTGGAGTTTGGGGAGGGGATTGAAGTTTAATAAAACAATGACAAATGCCACTGTGGTATCACCCCCTTAGTCATCCCTCCTCTGACGTGAGGGATGGCCAGGACTTCTGCCACCAGCCTGCACCCCTCCCTGGATGTGCGTGCGGCAGCCTGGGACCACCAGGCGAGCCGCGAGCTCCCACTTACGGTTTGCGCAGGATCATCCTCATGTGGGCATCGGGGCCCATCTGAGACAGCAGCAGCATGGTGTCCTGGAGCTCCTCATCACACTCCTTCTTCTCCTCCTCAGTAGGCAAAGGGGCATCCTCGTGCTCGTCATCCAGAAATCGATAAAATAAATATTTGTCTTGGAAATGGCGCTCCTGGTCCACTGTGGGAAGCATAGAGGCCAGGGTCAGCTGAGGCTTGAAGCTATGACCCACGGCTCGCTGGCAGGAGTACAGGGCTGGAGTCCTGCAGGACAGCCATGCAGCGGCTCAGTTGGGAGCCTGAGTCCTTCGAACTCCACCTCACTCAGGCGGGGCAGCTAGAAGACCAGACGTCCGTCTACAGTCATCTGAGCCACAGCCTCCTGGACCCGCCCGATTCTGCCTCTCTGAGCCTCCTGTGGGCACCCACCAGCTTTTTTAGAATGAGCGAGCAATGCCTTGGTGGCATTTTCTACAGTGTGGGGCGTATGTCCCAAACTGGTAAGCTCACTGTCAGAGCTTGCTTGCGGACTGACTTTGGGAGTGCGGTCTTACAAGAGGCATTCCTTTGGGAGGTCAGAACTTAGGCTTTTATTGCTCAATGTACCCGTTAAGACACAGTTTTCTTCCCACTAGGAGGGGGAAAAAAAGGTTTACAAGAACACAAAGATCTGAACAAAGCCGAGCAGACCAAGCTTCCAGGCCATAGATCCCTCGAAGGAATTGGTGGTCATTTTTCTCCAGTTTCGGTTTCCAGAAAGCCATTCCCTCACTTTCTTTTGGCAAAGCTGGGGAACTCAGACCCAGGAACTCACACATCCTAACTAAGTGATCAATAAGATTTAGGTCTTTGTTAGAAAAGAAGGTGGGCTGGGCTAGAACCCCTCATCTAAATGTCTAGAAATCACTTAGTCCGTCTATAGCACGGACCGTCAAGATAAAAGACAAAGAACAGTGGTAGACCCTGGCGGATCCCTGAAATAGGGATGGCAGCAACACATGGGCATTATTGCAGCACAAGGTGCTTAGAACCCATCCCAGACCTGCAAAGTTGGAATCTGCTTTGAGCGAGAGCCCCAGGTGATTGGTACGCACATGCGCAATGGACGTCTGAGGAAACTCGAACAAAATTCTTTCTCCCACATTCCCAGATGCTGGCGGATGAAACGGCTGATTTGAATATTTTCATGTTTAGAAAAGTGGGCTTAAGCAAGTGGTGTGAGCAGTTCAGTGGCGGTCACACCCCGGCCCTGAAGAGCTCTTCTGTTCAGCGAGAGCTGCGGCAGTTACTAGAGACCGCAATTGCAGCGCACAGCTCTGATTTTAAACATGGCCATCCGGCGGGGATACAAATCGGCTTTCCCAGACAGCGGCGCAGTGAAAAGGCAGCTTCTGAATTCATTAATGACTCTTGTGTCATCAGCCCGGCCACACATTCCACTGCTCTTTCATCCTGCGCCTGCCTCGGGACCGCGGTGCAATGCTTGGAGTCTAATCACACCATCAATGAACCATGAATGCAAACTAATAAACATAATTGGAGCTGATGCACTCTGGTTGCAATTTCATTTTCCTTTCCTTCGGTCTCGGAAGTTAGGAAGGTACAGTGGTGGAACGCGGCAATCAATAGCATCCGCTCGCCGCATTTGTATCGCTAAATGAAGATGCTAGCGTGGTGGTTCCTTAAGGAGATCATCATTCTCTCTTGCCCCTCTGAGAATGCAGCAGTAGCTTACCCAGGGCAATACACTTCACATGACTTGAGAGTTTTGCAGAGCCTGGGGCCCATCTTACCGTGGTTGAGGACGCCGTCTTCCAGCAAGACCTGCCACATGCCAACAGCTTGAGTCCGGGAGTGAACACAGGACGTTTGCTGTACCATCCAGTCTACCAGTTCAGTCCCGACACAGCATTGTCTAAAGGGGATGGTTGAGACAGAGGATGGAAAAGTCACACCCCTTTGCGGAGAGAGTGGGAGATAGCCTTCAAGAGGAGAACCTTCCGAAAACTGTGGTACCATAAGCGGTATCAAGGAAAAGAAAGTGTTGGGTTTTTTTTTGTTTTGTTTTTGTTTTTTTTTTTTTTTGTTTGTTTTAGGGTTATAGCCTTAGGCTCTTGCAGCAGCCATCTAAGCAGGGTCGTGTAAATAAAAGAACACTAGAAGACAGAGCACCAAGCTACTCAAAGGGCTGCTAGAGGGAAAATATTACCCTCCCTTCTAAGTCTAACACTGTGAGCTGGCCCTGGGACAGCTCAGGGTGAGGGCTGCTGGGAGAAAGAAGCAATTAGCAATGCAAATCTTTCCGAAAAGGTTCTGTGTCATGAGCATTACCGTGGCCACAGAATCTGCCACCTAACAACACCAGATGCTCCCTGTACAGCCATGTGTTAGTCCCAAAGCTGTCCCCTGGTGTGGGCAGACAGGCTATGAGTGTTAGTTAGGAGATACACAGTTAGACACTTATGTATTAGGAAACTCTGAGGGAGGTGAAAACAGGGCAGGTGTTACTCATGTGTACAGGAGGAAAGTGCAGTCCTGAAATCCCAGGGACAGATCTCAAGGGACAGTGGAATAGGGCAGGGAGGCCCAGAGCAGATGGCGGCCTGCAGCTGGGCCTGACTCATTGGTGGCCTCGCTTGGCAGGCCAAGAATGGGACCGCCTCTGGGGATGAGCAGAGACAGGGCCAAACCTGAAGAACTCTAGCATAAACTGAAGCAGATTCCTTGTCCCGGGCCACTGGGAAAAATCTTGAAGTGGTGGAGTTATCGAGTTTTCTACTCATTAACTATGTGACTTTGGCCATCTCTCTGGTTCTGTTTCCTTCTCTGTACGGTAAGGGAAGAACAAGTGATGGCCTTGCAGGCCTTCTCCAGTTCCAATATTCTAGAATCTCAGAAATCTATCAGTTCTTGGGATGCAGTGACCCTGACCCAGGGAGGACGGTTGGGAAGGCCAGCTCTACTCATCCGTCACAACTTCAAAGGGTGAAGAAACACCTACATCTTCACTCTGAAGTAACCAAATACTTCTGAGCTAAACATACAAAACAAACATTTCTCTTATAATTTGGTAGATTATTAGTGGAAAAGTTCTTATAAAAGTATAGAAATAAATTTTATTTGGCTTTTAATTCAATGATTGCTCTTTTAAAAAAAAAAGCGACAAAGCTGATTCAGAGCATTGAATTTCTAGGAGAGGCACAGGGACTTTGGAGCCAGAATGCACAACAGGGGCACATGGCAGAGTCCCTGGGTATCATTTCCGCTAAAGGACACCTAATCAGAACTGACTGTCATCCACTCTAGCATCGTGGTCATTGGGACGACACTGGATCTGGCAGGGCCTCAACTCTCTGATAAGGAAGCAGACACACAATGAGATAAAGAGCGGGAGGGAGGAGACGGAGCTTGCCAGCACGGATCTGGGGCAAGAACTCAGACCGCTGCTGCAGAAGAAACCGTGCCCAGGGCTTCCGGTGGGGCCCACTGGTCATCACCAACGATCATCAACTTATGTCATAGGGTGTGGAGCAGACATAACACCTCCGTGTCAGGGACTTAAGTCTCCGCAGGATGGCATCAGGAAGAGATCAGCTTCTGACTTCCCGTTTCCAGGATGGGTCACCAAACATGACATTATTTAATGGAATTTCCCCAACACGAGTCAATAGTTGGGCGAGCATACTCACATTTTAATGGGAAAGAAAAATAACTAAAACATTCAACGAAAAAGATCTTTTCAGTCATGTGAGCTTTTAAGGTCCATGTAAAGCAAAAGAGTCAAAGGGCTAATGGGGTTTAACTCTGGGGACATGTAGCACACGTGTTTTAGTTTTGTTTGGCTTTGTTTTAAATCTTGACTTTCCTTAGAACTATACTGCATGAGCCACAGAGTCCAGGCAGATTAGCTCTGAGGGCTGCAGAACAAGACTGAGCCTCTGGAAGAGACGGAGAAAATGTAGCTCTGGGGAGCTGGCTCGGTGGGCATCTGCCCCACAAGCGTGAGGACCTGAGTTTGAATTGCCAGTGTAAAAAGCACATGCCTGTCACTCCGGTGCTGTGACAGGAAGAGACAGGGAATCTTGGGGGCTTTCTGGCTACCAGCCCAGCTCCAGGTCTAGTGAGAGACCCTGCCTCGAAGGAATAAGATGGACAGAGACTGAGCAGGTCACCCAGTGTCCTCCCACAGCTTCAGCAAGTGCACACCCGCCCCCTGCCAGGTTAAGTAGCTTACTAAAATAAAACTTCACTAGAAAACAAACTCCATAAATGATTATATATATTTTGTTCACTTCCGTATACTTAGAGCTTGTAACACTATGACTTAAAAATTAAATTAAAAAAATTTTTTAAAAAAATCACTGAATTTAGAGATCAACCATACTTGGTGTAAAACTTGCTTGTGTGCTCTCTGGACACAGGACTTAGTGAAGGGATACTATTTGCTCTCTTTGCCCGGGGTCAGTTTTGTCATCTGGGAAATGAACACATACCCAGATACGCCTTTCTGAAAGGGATGCGGTGGAGATAAACTTCATGATCCCATGTGGGAAGTGGCATGGTGCCACCCTTGGTGTGTAAGAACTGTGTGAGTGCTAGCTGAACTTAGTAGGGCCACCAAAAGATGCTAGCAAAAAACACAGGGGCTCCTCCTCTTTGTTCATGCCTGCACACATCAGCTTGCAGTGTTGGGGCTAAAATACGTGCAGGCTGGAACCCCGGGGTTTATAACAGGCTATTTGTCCCACTTTTATAAAACATGAATTGGAGGGGCCAAGCCGTGAGGATGAACAAACATACCTGTACGTCTTTAGGTGGTATTTTCTGTCTCTTATCATGTGGGGTGCTCGAGAGAGAATGGCAATTCGTAAGATTTTCCCAGCTCGGAGGATCTTCTCTGAAGGGACCTGGGTTTTAATCAGATGGGAGGAGAAGAGGGGAAAGGAGAGTTTACGGAAGGGAGTAGACCTGGTGAATTCTTAAACTGCTTTCTAATCAGAGTCCGGATAGAAAAACACAACTCACTCATACATATTTACATTGCTCACTCATGAGACATGTCACTGTTATGTTGAGAACTGAGACACGCTGCATATTTATTGGTTCTGGGAAGTGGCTCTGAGGGGCCTTGACTTGACGCTCTGACACAGGAACCACCTCCAGTGGTACTTAAGAAGCGAGCTTGGATGGCTTATCAACCCACCTACGTCCCATTACCTTGGTAATGGTGTTAGCAGGACGGAGAGGAACGTGAGGTTCAATGAGAGGTGTCTGAAAAATAAAATGTTAAGGCAAAAGAAAATTAAACAAAAAATTCAGTAAAGAAAATTATGGGTTGGGGATAATAAGAAACACCAATTTTTATGAAACTCAAAATAGAATTGAGAGAGAGAGAGAGAGAGAGAGAGAGAGAGAGAGGCATCCTAAAGAACTTGAATGCACAGGCATTCAAAGGGCAAAATTGGACCATTCAGTTTGCCAACATTTAAATATAAATTGTTTATAAAAAATGAAAAAAAAAAAAGAACCAAACAGGAATGATTTAATGTTCATAGGCTCAATGAGAAGGGAAAAGGCAGCTGGTTGAAGCATAACAAACACCACAGCAGGGAGAAAGCAAACAAGGTAAACAGTCAGAGGTTACAGTGACCTGCCCTGGGCTGTGGATAAAGTATTGATTTGGGGTGGGAATGCTCCGTTCCCTGTTCTCTTGTGCAGTTAAGACTCTTTCTCGGCAGTGGTTTTTTTGTTTGTTTGCTCATTGTTATTTTCACATGTAGCTTCCTGCACTCAAGCTCCCAGAACCCAAGAGAGGGAGGCAGCTGCTGTGCATCTCTTTCCTGAGAAAACTGCAGCCTTCAAGAGTCTATGCCAGTCAGATTAGCTCCAGGACCTAGCTGGCACTCTTCAGACGGAACACATTCTGTGGATGGATGTGTTGCATCTGAAACAATGGAGAAGTCCAGTTTCTATAAAATGGTAGCCCCCAGCCTTCATTATCTCACATGTCTAACAATGACCTTTCCAAAAGTGTCAGGTCAAAGGTGGAAGAGTCATGGATACAATGTTAAAAGGTCAGTGGTGGAAGAGTCATGGATACAATGTTAAAAGTGGTGGAAGAGTCATGGATACAATGTTAAAAGTGGTGGAAGAGTCATGGATACAATGTTAAAAGTGGTGGAAGAGTCATGGATACAATGTTAAAAGTGGTGGAAGAGTCATGGATACAATGTTAAAAGTGGTGGAAGAGTCATGGATACAATGTTAAAAGGTGGTGGAAGAGTCATGGATACAATGTTGTTTGTGACACTTTTGAATAGCATGATTTGATTTGATCTGATGAGTCCTTGGGCACGTTAGTAGTCTGGGGTTCCTTACCTACAACCCCCAAAGATGCACACATCTTTATGCTCAGAACCTTCGCGTATGGGGTTACATGGCAAAAGGATGCTGTAGGCATGGTGATCACAATGTGGAGACCAGCCTGGTGTTTCTGAGGGTTGTGTTATCAGATGCAAAAAGGAAAGGCAGAGTCAGCACCCAACAGCGGAAAGAGGAGGAGTTGGCAACTCAGGGGCCTTGAAGCTGGAAAAGTCCAGGATCCAAAAGCACAGAAGTCTCCCCAGGGGAACAGACAAAAGGAAAAAAAGAGCCCCCTTGAGTCTCTGAAAGCAGCATGATCTTGTTGAGCCTCCATTTTAACCCAGAGGCTCACACTAGAGGTCTGGATCACAGCAGGGAGGGCTCATTGATTTGATTATCTCAGTGAGTGACAGTTTGTTATGACGGCCCCCAAGCACTGACATAAAGATTAACACACTGTATAGCAACACCTTCCTGCCTTTTGCGAATAGGAGTTAATTACAGCGAAAATACATTGGTGAGTTCATTTCTACTTCTCATTTAAAACACTTAACCACTGAGGGAGATGAAGGTCACTCATAGTTTTAAGAAACGTTTTAAACCTCAATGCGAATATACACACATGAACATTATATTTGCCTTTTATCAATGGCAAATTTTGGACGGGCTGGTGCTTTTAGCATTATAAAAGAGTTAAAGGGGTAAATGAACACTGAACTTCAAAAACCAGCAGAGATGAGCCATAGATTTGCTTCTAAGACTGTCTCCTTGAACTCACCCATTTCAACATTTTCTTCCTGTGACTGGCATCCATCCGGCAGACCCCACCCACTGAAACGCACGGTGTGTCTGCAGCACGCCACTTAGAACAAGCATAGACCAAAGGATATCAATGTGGTGTAATTCAAAATGGCGAACCCTGCCAGCTCCCGTGTTCTTTACAGTAGACCTGCTGATGGGTGAGAGGCTAAGACCAGGCAACTCTCATTCTCAACACAGAACATTGGCCAGCCAGAGAAACAGGGCTATCGTCCATCAGGTCCCTGGAAACACACAGTTGAAGCTGGCTGTGAACTTCCCAGTTATGAACTTCAGCTCCAGTGATGATCCAGTGATCCTGTCCCTGCCATACACCTGTGAGGCTTCCTGGCTACAGATCTAACTGTAAAAGCTTCTGGTTGTTCCAGAAAAAGATGCTAGGAACCTGTCCCTTCTTCCCGTTCTAGAAGAAGTCTAGAGCAGAGGGAGGCGGGGTTGTTTTCCGGACCCCGCCCCATGAAAAGCTGACATTTATCAGTTTGTCTCTGAGAAGCTGGCCAAGCTGGAGGTCAAGAGGAGGCCCAAACTGAGGACGACTAATAAATGTTTTTTCTTTTTGTTCCTGGTGAGCTGAATGAAACTATTCAAAGATTAGAGATATTTTTAGTTGCTTCTTACTATAACAAAAAACTAACAAGTGGTACCTAGTTTAGTTTACTTCAATGTGATGGAGGAAGGTCATTGGCTAATAAAGGAACTGCCTTGGCCCATTTTATTGGTTAGAGGATAGGTGGGAGGAGTAAACAGAACAGAACGCTGGGAGGAAGAGGAAGTGAGCTCAGTCTCGACAGCTCTCCTCTCTGGAGCAGACGCCTGAGGAAGAGGAAGTGAGCTCAGTCTCGACAGTTCTCCTCTCGGGAGCAGATGCCTGAGAGAGACGCCATGCCCCGCTCCCGGGATGAAGCTCCGACCCAGGATGGACATAGGCTAGAATCTTCCTGGTAAGCGCACCTTGGGGTGCCATACACAGATGATTAGAAATGGGCTAAATTAATATGTGAGAATTAGCCTAGAAGAGAATGGATCAGGCAGTGTTTAAATGAATACAGTTTGTGTGTTGTTATTTCGGGCATAAGCTAGCCGTGCGGGCGGCTGGGGTGCTGGGGACAAAGCCCCGCCGCCTCTTATTACTACATATGGCGCCCACATGGACAACTGAATCCACAGAAAGCCTGAAAAAGCTTGGGAAAGAGTAAAGCATGTTTTCTTGATAGTGACAATTTCTCGGGTCTGCTCTGCTTGTTAGAGGCAAGCATGCACTTTCTTCTAAGAGAAGCTTCCTGACTCAGCTTTAGCTGCAAAGCCTGCAGCTCATTAAGAGGTCCTGCCACGAAACACTTAAACGGTGTTGACGAAAAGCTGAACGCATGCTTTTCGGTTTTCAGCCATAGCAGGAAAAAAGCTGCGCCGTTTAAAAATGCCGGCTTTCTGGGCCATCCTGCCAGGGCAAACTCTGACTGTTTGAGGCAGGAGGGCCAGCTACCGAGAGAGGACTTGAGTGTTGTCTGTTGTAGCTCACTTGCTGGCAGGGACCTTGAAATGCCATACAGTTGTTGCAGTAAACATGGCTACAGCCTGTATATCCGCCATGAGGCTGGAAAGCTAACGAATGGACTGAATCTAGCTGGCAAAGCCATGCCTTTAGTCCTACTGAGATTGCTTGGTAAATTAAAGATTCATGTGGTCAGAAAAAGAGAGATATACAGTAAAGAGAGATTCAAAGACAGAGAAAATTTCTGAATGGTTTAAAGTGTGTTAAAAATATATGCAGACTAAAAGTTGAAGTTCTTAAAGTAAAAAACAAAAAAAAGGAAGAGAGTTGTTGTGTATGGTAGCACACGCCTTTAATCCCAGTGCCTAGAAGGCAGAGGCAAACACTTTTACTATCTGAAATCATATCCATTGACAGTATGCAGCATGCTTAGTCAGAATTAACTTTTTTAAAAGCAACTTTATAAGAATAAAACATTTACACCAAGGAATTGATCTCTAGGGGATAAGATAAATGTGTCAGAGAAAGGATGTCACAGAAGTCCACCCAGGAGAACAAAAAGACACTCAGAGATCTGATCAGGGACAGATCTCTCTGCTGGCAGAGGGAGATGGGGAAGCCAGCTGGATCCACTCAGCCAAGCCCCAGGTTGGCAGAAGAAAGCCTTTGGAAAGAGTGCAGAGGAGGAAGGAAAAAGCCACCAGGCCTTGATCTAGGTACCGGAACTTGGAGGGCATCAAGGAGCCCTTGAGGCATAGCAATGGTCAGTGATGCCACCAGTCTACCCACTGTTAAGAGGAAGGCAGGATTCTCCATGCCCATTCTCCCTCTGGACAGAAACTAGAGCTATGAGGAAATCATTTCATTATATCAATTATTTCATTATATAGACTAGATTAAACAGAAGAGAGAGAAACAGCAACATAGCAATATTAGCGAGAACCAAAGGAAGAAAACCAGCCTGAAGGTCGGGGAGCCAGGAAACATGCCTCCCGCAGCTTTTAAGAGCACTGGAAGGACAAAGAGGTGCCCTGAGGGGCCAGCCCTACAAGGCGGTCACAGCAGCCACAGACTTGGGCAGAGCCTCACCGTGCAGTACCCCAGTCCTCTTGTTGGCCTATATCCTCCAGGCACATTTTCTGTGCCGAAGAGGAAGGCAGATGGGAAGCCAGTATGGCACAGGGACTTCATTAATGATGCCTTAGTTTGTGTCCAAGAGCTGGCCTCTGCTTTGACCTGTAGCTAGAATGCACACAGCACAGGGAACTGGCTGGGCAAGGAATGGGCCTTCTCTGATTAAACTGCGTACATTTCAACACATTCTCGAGTTGATAGAAATTCCTGTGGGCACGAAGGAGTCCAAACCAGGCTGCGAACATGTGACCCTCAAAGGCAGGCAGGAAGGACAGATAAGGGCAGAAGCCTCCAGCATTTTCTTGGCTGTCTCCCCTGAAGGCTTCCCTCAGGATTAACCATAATTGGTTTTTGTTTGTCTCAGGGAAGGGTTTTCTCTTTCAGCAGCTTTTTATTATGTTTCTATTACCAGTGAAAGGGGAAAATAGTGAGAGAGAAAAAATATTCCTTTTGGCATCCGAGC